GAAGCGCTCCCTACCAAGGATTTTTCCATACCCAGGGCTCGAACTCGAGACCTCTGGTTAAGGGAGGAGCAGTCTCATCCACTGCACCATATCCTTTGGTGGTTATTGTTTACTATTAGTTAGGCAAAACGTGACAAATTCGGCCGAAATTTAGGCATGAGCATACCCTCTGGGTTGCTCTCCTTTCACTGATTGTATGCAAAATATTTGACCAGTCAATTTAGGTTTAATCCATTTTGCCCATATTTATTTATTAATTACTCACTTTGACCAAAAAAAATTATTATTCACCAAACCCCACTTAGCGTTTAACAAGTTCACCAATTAAATACAAGCAAAAAATATATAAAATTATTTATTTTTCTGAAAAATATTTTACGTGAAAATAATCTTTTTTACATACCAAGCATAACCTCTTGGCTTATAGCTTGTTCGGCCGAGCTTCTCTTTGGCGAAAAGTATTATTTTTTAAGCTAAAAGTATTTTTTTTTCACAATTAAGATGTCTAACCAAGCTTTTAGAAGGAAAAAAAATTGTTATTTTTGAAAAGCAGAAAAAATTAGTCTCACCCTAGAAGCAGTTTTTTTTTTAAAAGCATTTTTTAGAAAAATATATTTGGAAGCACTTTTTAAAAGCTTGGCTAAATACTAATTGTTGCTCAAAAGTATTTTTCAAACTGATTAGCTAAACACAAATTGCTCCTCACCAAAAGTACTTTTTGAAAAGCATTTTTAAAAAAAAATATCTTTCAAAATAAGCTGATTTTAGAAGTTTGGCCAAACAAACTATTAATTTATCAATAAAAGTCGAGTTCTTTATTTTTTATTTAATTAATTTTGTTTTCCTTCGAGAAGACACTCTAGACAATTGCGTCTTCAACTGGCCGAGTGTTGGTGTTTATATTCAACGGAAAAGGGTTCAATGCCCCTAAACTATTGGAAAAGGTTTAAAAATACCATTCATCCACCTATTGAGCTAAAAATACCCCTCCATTCACTTTTTTTGTTCACTTATGCCATTTGACTGTTAGGTCAATGCTAAATTAAAAATAATTATTATTCTTTTTGTAAAGCTTAAAAAAAATATTTTGCAAAAGATTTTTGTTTTTTTAAACTAATGCACCAATAGTCCCACTAATTTAGTACTTTCTTCTTATTTTTTTCAGTTTTTACAAAAAAAAAATATTTTTTCAGTTTTTTTAAAGTATTTTTTTTTTGTGAAAACTGGAAAAAATAGTAAAAACAGAAAAAAAAAATATTTTTAATAAAATATTTTCGTTTTTGAATTTTTTTTCAGTTTTTTTAAAACATTTCGTTTTATTTTCGTTTTTCAGTTTTTTTTTAAAAGAAAAACTATTTTCGTTTTTTTTTAAAAATGAAAAAAAAATTTAAAAACGAAAATATTTTGTTGAAAATATTTTTTTCAGTTTTTAAAAAACGAAAATATTTTATTAAAACATTTTTTTCTGTTTTTACAATTTTTTTTCAGTTTTTAGAAAAAAAAAGCTTTAAAAACTGAAAAAAAAAATATTTTTTTGTAAAAACTAAATTGTTTTGTACAAAAACTGAAAAAAGAAGAAGAATAAGACTTTACTAAATTAGTGGACTACTGGTGCATTAGTTTAAAAAAATAAAAATATTTTGTGAAATATTTTTTTTTAAGTTTTACAAAAAGAATAATAATTATTTTTAATGCATTGACCTAACGGTCAAAGGGCATAAGTGAACCAAAAAGGTAGATGGAGGAGTATTTTTAGCCCAATAGGTAGATTAAGGGTATTTTTAAACCTTTTCCAATAGTTTAGAGCCATTTTGAACCCTTTTCCGTATATTCAAAGTTAAGTACTTTTCTTAACTAAATTGTGTTAAATCAAAGATGGAATAGTTAGGAGCATTTCTTTTCTTGGTTAAAGTTCTCAATTCCTTTTTCTCAGTTCTATGGCATGTTCCCTATTGATATAGCTATTAGAAAAAGAAAAAAAGAAAAAAAAAGTTTGTTACATTCTTGTATATAAGGTTTTTGCATCCATAAGAAAGAATTAAATAGCTTTAGTTGTGTAATTGTCTAAACTACATTCATTTCTTATTAAATATTTTACTTAATTAAACTGTTCCACTAAAAGCAATAAATAAATTCAAACTTTTTAAGAAAATACCAAATATTTTTAGACGAATCTAATTTGCCAATGAGTAGCATATCCTGGAATCCTACATCGGATATAGATGAGTTCCTTGAACTTTTTGTATATGGCTTGAAAAATCCTTACCATTTAAGTTAGTTAGGCTCAAGATTCACTTTTATCATGGTATATGGTGTTCTTATTGTTTAGTGGGCTTAAGTTCTAGTATTGATTTTTCAGCCAAAATTTCACGGTATAGCCAGTTTTCGGACTGGTCAATCAAAAATAGTCAGTGTTTACCAAGTCAATGAAAAATAGCCACCGTTTTGCTGCAATAGAGACCGGTCCAGCATAATATACTGGAGTTTGGTGCACTTGTGTATGAACTCCAGCATATTATGCTGGACCGGTATACTTTGCTGGCTCCAGTATAATATACTGGAGACTGGAGCACTGGTGCTCCAAACTCCACTATATTATACTGGACCATTATACTTGCTGGAACTCCAGTATATTATGCTGGAGTTCTAGTGTATTTATGCTGGAACTCCATCATATTATGCTGGAGTTCCAGCATACTATCCTGGAAGTATACTTATGCTGGAACTCCAGCATAATATACTGGAGTATTTTCCGGGTTTTGAACAGTGTTTTCGCTCAGATTTATCTTTACGTAAAAAGTGGCTAAATTTCGATTACTTTTGAAATTGGGCTATTTTTGAACGACCAGTTGTAAATCTGGCTATTTTTAAAAATCACGCCATCTTTCAAAACAAATTACTCCATATATTTTTGTAGCCGACTTTAGCGGGTAAGTTTGTGCCTTAGGTATGGAGTCGTTTTTTGTAGTGAGCGTTTTACTTTTCAAAAATAAAACTTCTCAATACAAATCTGAATTAATCGTGACCCAATGCAGATCAGATGCAAAATTTAAAAAAAAAAATGTAAACACCACTTTTTTCATATTACCAATAAATCTAGAACTTTTTTACTACATGATATTCTGGAAAGTAGGTGATTAGGAAAGAAAACCACTCACATGTTTATTTGTCTATAAATTATTGGTTAGGAAATTTCCTTGATCATATTGAGTCCGTGATGCAAAAGGCAAAAATTCTTCCTTTTCACACACCCCATATTTGTTATTGATGGAAGTCATAAGACGCCTTTGTTGAATAAATTGGCTCGTAAAGATTGTGGCAAACTGTCCGTTCACCATATCTTCCCCGCCAATTCCTACTATCGATCACCATAGGCACAAGCCGAGCTATGGGTTCGATCAAACTTAGTAATTTTTGTGAAATATTATACTTGAAGTCAGTTATTTACACTTAGGGGTCGTTTGGTTGCCGGTTAGAGTTATGCAAGTATTAGTTATGCAGGGATTAGTTATGCAGGAATAAGTAATGCAGGGATTAGTTGTGCAGGTATTAGTTATGCAGGGATTAGTTGTGCAGGTATTAATTATGCAGAGATTATTTTTTTGAATGTTTGGTTTGTTCTATTAGAAATTGATATACATTATATAAATTTTAAAGTAAAATGCTTGTTTACAACTATACCCCTGGCCTTCTTTTGCATTGTTTTTTCTCTCTTTCCATTTATGTAGGAAACAATTTAGTTAGGAACTTTTGGTGTTACTTTCACTTCTTCGTCATACTACTGAACTATGTGAAGTTTAGACATATTTGATTTTCACTTCTTAGTTTTGGTATTTCCATTTTCTAGTGGCTTCTCCAGTTTGTTTTTGCTAGTTTGTTCTTTAAAAATGAGAGAAGACAAGGTATATAGTTGGCAAGTGAAAGCAAGTGAAACCTGTTGACGGGTTGGCAGAGAAATAAGGAAGCCTTATGTGTAAAGTGATAGGGGTCAATTTGTCATTTCAGTATTTTATCCATGTATTACTAATACATGTATTAGTTATTCCATCTTCTACCCCGCATAAAATAATACACAGATTGACTCATAACTTATACATGTATTATTTATGCATAATTGAAAAATGTCAACCAAACATGGTATTAGTTATGCAGAATTTTATACAAAATAACTATTGCCTACCAAACATGGTATAAGTTATGTTACCCCTTATACATGAATAACCTTTCTTCTAACCAGCTACCAAACGACCTCTTAATGTCTTATTTATAAGATCGTTTGGTACGCGGAATAAGGTGGGTGATGTTTGGCTATAATTATATATTTTTAGTACATTACATAACTTACTTTTTGGTACTTTAATGCTAAATTCACTACAACAAATTCGATTATCAGTGACAATTATTTTGTCACCTAAAATTAATATTTCGTCACAAAAAACTTTTCTTGACGAAAAAAAAAAATCGTCAATCATTCGTCCTTAAATGTGCGTCACTAAAGGTATACAAAGACAACTTAGTGATTCGTCACTAAATAAAGTTATTTTAACTACGAAATTGATTTTCGTCCCCAAACGTATAGTATTTGTGACGAACTTATTTGTCAAAAAAAGTACAAAATTTTTATAGTTGATAGTACATTTTCGTCACTAAACAGGCAATTAATAGCGACAAAACTACCTCGTCACTAACTATTTAGTTTCATTAGTGATAACATTAATTGTCTCTAAAGTTATATGTATTTCGTAGTTGCACAAATGTAATTTTGTCACTAAAAATTACCTATCATACACAAAAAGATATTTCGTCCCTAAATATAAAAATTAGTGACAAATTTGCTTTAATAAAATTGGCTTAAAATTTTGTAGCTAAGACTATTATTTCATCACTAAAAACATCGCTTTTACTGAAAAAATAAAATTGTCCCTATAAATTATCATGATTCACGTCAATTGCAATTATCATAAAATAAAAAATAGTTCATAGTAAATAAGGCAATTATGAGAAATAGAAATATATAAGAACTTTTCATTGCTAAAAAATCAAACAACATAAAGTATTCTAATATACATTATAATACATTTTCTTTGTATATATAAATGGCCCAAAAAATAATATAAAATGTTTCCAAACTATTCCTTTGCCTTCAAACTCCTCCAAGTCTGTGGTTGACTTTGTTTTCTGTTGTTGGAGAACTTTATCCTTCCTATATTAAAAAAAATAGCAAAGGATCAAAAGAGAGAAAGAAATTAGAAAATTCTAATAGTAATCCAGGTATAATTTATCAAGACAATTGAATGCAGAAGAAAAAGGTTGCACATACAATGGAAACCAGAAATTGGTAAGAAACTCAATAAGATATTAAGATTTGACTAACATAATTTCCTGTAACCATCAAAGATTAGCATTAGTCTGAGATATGCTAACAAGGCTACTTAAAGAGTTTACTTAAATCTTATATATTGGTGTTTCTAATATAAGCTTGCTGACAACAAGAACATCTAATTATTTTAAAGATAAGATGCCGCTCTTACATAAAAGAACCTCCATTTAGTTGAAATTGAGATATGCCAAAATTTCACAATGGCGATGATGCTTAAACAATAACAGAAAGAGGATTGACATGTCTATAATCCAAAAATATCCCCTTTACCAATCGCATAATACAGAGACACAAATTTCCAATAGTATCAGAATTTGTGACATGAAATACCAGATATGAAATTTTCAGAAACTAATCAAACCATAAATTTTTTAACCATGACGTATAGCTTGTATTATCTTTTACACAGAAGAATTGAAAAATGCCCTGGAGCAAATATTACTTTTTATGAAGAGTTCAAAATGAAAACAAACTGAATATTACTTATAAAGGAAAAAATTAAGCGGACAGCTAAGTATTCTTCACCCAACTTCGCCAACCCCACCCCCCTAAAAAAGAATAAAATTGTATATGTCATAGCTGATATTAAGTTGTCAATCCAAAAGAGAAGCAAAAGATGCCTAGGCCAGAGTTTTTGTGTTATATAAAATTATTACTGTCTTAACCATATCCCTAGTCATACAAGATTACTAAAAAGGATATTTATCTGCAACGAGCTTATAGGACAAATGCACAAAAATTCTGAAGATATAAGGTCATTCAATTGAAGTGACATTAAGAGTCTAACCTCAATTTTAGCCCCTCACCCCTGCACATAAGATTTAACAAATTGCTAATCTGTTCAACGAAAAGAAAAAAGTTTAAACAAATAAGTAA